GCGGGCAACGGGCAGGCCCTCGCCACGCAGGCGCCGCACGGCACCGGGCCTGATCACGTCGCTGCATGGCAGGGGCATGAGGCGGTTGTCCAGCGTGGGAACATTGACCGTGCAGCCGCAAAGAGCCTGGAAGAGGACGAGAGGAGAACGTCAAGTTGCATCAAAGACCGAACTACTGAATAACCAAAACTTACAAAATGCGGTTTGTCAGTTGCTCATCATAGAATTTTGGAAATTGGAGCTAGTTGTTGCAAAGGTGTCACGTTGCATAAGCAATAATGTGTCAGTCGTACTAAAAAGCCAGTTACGCAAGGAAGTAGCTCACTAGGCCTGTCTCTGCGGCGACTGCTGCCCTGCTAATCTGCCAAGCGTGGGCGCGTATGAAGAGAGAGCAAAGAGAGCGCAAAAAACGCCTCCTCCTCTTCCTGAGCAGCATCACAGAGAGTGGCGAGCTAAATTTAGCTCAGAGATTGGCGAGGGCGGATGAGGTAACGAGTGAACGGGCTGCCATTCTTTGCCGATGCTTCCCGTGTCTGATTGAAGTCTTTTCACTCATTGAGCGATTGCATAAACAGGAGGAAGTGTCGCGTGGGCGTCGTCGAGTCTTCGCAAGGTTTTGTAACACATAATTGAGGCCACGGGGGCATTGAAGATACAGTCATACCTCGGTTTTCGACCATAGTCCGTTCCAGAAGGCTGTTCGAAAACCGAAACCATGCTCTTTTAAAAAAAATCTTTATTGAACACGTTCGAAAACCGAAACCATGCTCTTTTTAAAAAAATATTTATTGAACACATCTGCTTATAGAGGGCTCCGTCCTTTTAGCAATTACCCACAATGCCATACACGAAGTCTATTCGTGTATGGCTTGTTTATAACAGCCCTCCAATATGGCCGCCGGTAGTGCATTGTGGGTAATTGCTGAAAGGACGGCGCCCTCTATAATGGAACACTACACGAGGATGCGTTACTTCTTCGTCTACCGCATTGTGGGTAATTGCTGAAAGGACGGCGCCCTCTGTAATGGAACACTACACGAGGAAGCGTTACTTCTTCGTCTACCCATTGTTTCAATAAAGATTATTAAAAAAAAAAAAAACTTCTTCGTCTACCCGAAGAAGCATCACTTCCTCATGTAAGGAAGCCGAGAGGAGTCAAGTGGCGCATTCAAGTGCACTCAGTTTGGTCGAGAACCGCTTTTCGGTCGTAATTTGAGAGGCGCATTCAAGTGCGCTCAGTTTGGTCGAGAACCGCTTTTCGGTTGTAATTCGAGACATAAAAAAACTTGAAATTTTTGGTCGAAAACCGATTCGGTTGAGAACAGAGACATCGAAAACCGAGTTTTGACTGTATTAGTATTTTTTTGTGTCAATTTAAAGTCACCGGAAGCTCAAGCTGCTGCAGCACAGAGCTGCTTAAAGTGGATCCGTTTCGAAAAGTAGCGCACCAGAACGTCATCTCACCTCTTTGAGTGTGATGCTGGTCGTGTAGATGATATTGGAGCCGTCTCGCTTGTACTGCGGGTGCTCGGCGTCACTGAGGATGAAAGTGACGTCGGCCGGCGTGCTGTCGGGCATCTCGTCGCCCTCCCGGGGGAAGGTGATCTTGGTGCCGGCTTTCCAGCCTTTCTTCACCACCACGTTCAGCACTTTGTCCTCGGACCACACGCTGCGGCCGTCCGGTCCGAGGCGGCTGCGGGTGATCTTGACGTGCTTGGTGCAGCCGTGCATCACGTCCTCCAGGCTGACCGGCAGCTCGCGCACCAGCGCCTTGCCCCGCGGCCGCCGACCGCCCCGCCTCAGGCCGCCGCCCTCCTGGCCGGAGTAACCGCCCACGTGGCTGAAGGGGAAGCGGCGGAAGGGGTTGAAGAGGTCGTCTTCGTCGCCGTCGTGAGTGAAGAAGATGTCGAAGTGGTCGGAGCCGTGGAAAAAGGAGGAGAAGGTGGCGTGCGGGTCGGTGGGGAAATGTTTGCGGAAGGCGTTGCCCTGCCCCGCCGCTGACGCGCCGCTCTTGAGACCTGAATGGACAGACGGGCAGAGAATTTGATTGATGTTGTTCTCGCGAGGCTTTACCGTTGAATTGGGGATCGAATAGCAAAGTTGTTCCTATTGGTCACCAGAGAATTTCACGAATTGACGCTCACCTTCCTCTCCAAACTGGTCATAGATGCTCCTCTTCTCGGGATCGGTCAGGACCTCGTAGGCCTCGGCGATTTCCTTGAAGCGGTCCTCGGCGTCCGCGTCGCTATTCTTGTCCGGGTGGTACTTGAGCGCCATCTTGCGGTAGGCCTTCTTAATCTCGTCCTCGTTGGAGTCCGGCTCCACGCCCAGAACCTTGTAGAAGTCCTTTCCGGCACTGGGCTTGATGGACAGGCAGGCGGCGTCCGGCTCTGACTTGGTACCTTCCTGCAGGGAGGGACGAGGGGGGGTTGACATATTACCTACTGCTCATATGTGGTTATTTAAAAGTGGTATCACTCGGTTCTTCATCCTTGCTGCAGCTTGTGCCTGTTTTTTTTTTATTTCTGTCTGCTGTGAATTTTAAAGGCTTGTGCAGAGCAGTACGGTTGGGATGGGTGGAGGACGTGGGGGGAGGGGGGTGCAGACTTCCCTGACAACGGAGCTTCTCTACAGCTATTGGATGAATTCTACTCATGCATTGAGATCACGTCTACTGAGCATTCATATCTTCTTTTCTTTGAACGACATGACACGATGGACCTTATTTTGCGACTGATGAGTAGCTCTCGATATCTGAACAGCTGACATTGATTATTTAACAATGTCCAGCAAGAAGTATCCATAATGATGGGTCAAGGTTCACAGTTCCCCAATATTATCAGTTTTTTTTAATGAATCAAAATATTTACATTAATTATTTTTATCCCCAAATTGAAGCATTTTCATATATTCATCACACATTCTATGTATTCGTCCATTATTTTTTTTCTTACTTGGCCAATTAAAGTTATAATTCTTAGACACGAGTTTTTATGCATGCAGTAATAAACACTGAAAATGTTCAAGCATATATTAACTTTTTTTCAGTATCTATTTTCAAATATAAACTGACCTTCGAAATACACATTTGTATGTACAGTATTAGGTTTTTTTTCTGGGCCATTAAAAGGTCAAATGTTTAGATTAAAAGGTATTCATGACTGCAGTGATATTATATTATTCAAGCATACACATCACATGACAAAAATGTTTTTTTTTATTTTTTATTTAACATGACATTTTTGGAACTCTTTAACAAACCAACGAAGCGACAGCAAATCCCGTGTGTTTCATTTCAGTAAGAAAAAAAACCATGTCCTACTTACCGAAGATGAAGCCGACCCCGAGCTGTCTCCCCTGTGCATCACCCGAACTTTGCACCTGACGTTGCCATTTTTGTGCTTGACTCCAAACTGTGTCCAGATGAGAACCATGACGAATGCCGCTCAAGTCGTGTGAGAGTCGCTGGACTTAGACGCTGTCGCTGTCCACTCGGGAGTGGTGCTGAAAACGCTCCGGTTGTTGTGAGTTGACTGGGGCTTGCTGTCTTTCGACTGCTCAATAGCGGCTCGGCTTCGGCTCCCTTTTCTACTCCACGCTCGACCAGCCCACGCAGCGTGACAAGAGCTTCCCCGCTGTTGGCCCGTCCCACAGCGGAGAGGGATGCCGCGGAGTGGCGGCCGATTGGATGCCGCTCGCGGATGTTGCAGCCCTCTCGCTCCTTGTGGAGCATCGCTTCCGGAGCTCCAACAGGCACACGGGGAGGAAGAAGGCGAGTCACGACTCACAACACACAGTCCAGTTTTTTTTTTTTTAGGGGGCCAGACAGAATAATCACACAAGTCTAGACAGACACCTGCACCACCAGGACATGTCCTCAAATAGCTTCACGGAGACACATTAGTACATTACTGGAAAGAATATTGGACAGATACGATAAATAGAGAAATCGCTAGCTAGCTAGCTAACTGGCTAGATAATGTATATGAGTGATACATCAAAAGGACCAGATGTTTATTAGGCATCAGTGTTGTGGAACTTACTTGTGGAAATGATTTTTAAAAAAATGAACAATTAATAATGAGAGTAACTAATTAACAGGGGTGGCCCAGTGGCCCAGTGGTTAGCGAGTCGACCACATAGTGCAGAGGTACCGGGTTTGATTCCAGCTCCGGCCTTCCTGTGTGGAGTTTGCATGTTCTCCCCAGGCCTGCGTGGGTTTTCTCCGGGTACTCCGGTTTCCTCTCACATTCCAAAAACATGCATGGCAGGCTGATTGAACACTCTAAATTGTTCCTCGGTGTGAGTGTGAGCGTGGATGGTTGTTCGTCTATGTGTGCCCTGCGATTGGCTAGCAACCGGTTCAGGGTGTGCCCCGCCTACTGCCCGAAGACAGCTAGGATTAGTTCCAGCCCCCCCCCCCCCCCGTGACCCTTGTGAGGATAAGGCAGATTGGAAAATGGATGGATGGATTGGATGGGCTAATCACCAGAAATGCAAAAATCAGAAGCAGCTCATTTCCTCTTCCCATCCCTTATATTCGTATATCTGGGGCAGTGGGTGTGTTACAAAAGCTGCTTTCCAATGGCATTTGTGAGCCACAAGCACTGAGCCAGTGAGACATTCCGTAACACCACCAGCTGAAGACTGACATAACAGGAGGGGGGGAAAAAAGGAAAAAGCGCATAAACGGCTGGCAGTGAAACGAAAAAAAAAAAAAGGCTCCATAACCTGCTGACTTCATCAATGTATGACGCTCGGCGTGTTCATGAAGGTGTAGCGACCTGCTCTCGAACGGCTCTTTTTAACCTAAAAGTCACGGTCATGGTGTTCCATTTGGAGAAGCTGTGGCTGACGGAGAGCGGAAGACATACATGGCAACGCTTCCTCCGCCTCCCAGCCAATCAGGGCTGGAGTTTCCCCGGGATTCTCTTTGGTGTCTGGCAGGAAGCGGAAGACATATTTGGTTCGAGGAGAGCATCACGCCGCCTCTTCTCCTGCAGTGATTCACTGGAGCCGTTTTTCTTTTTTTTTTTCCCTCACACGGCTGCAGCCCACAGGAACAGTCGGGACTGGGTTTGGCCTTGCAACACATGCACACTTGCACAGATGCCACTGTGTTCAGAACAAGAGGTTATTGCATGATGACTTTTATTGAATTCCATATTCTGAAAAAGAGCACTGGAACATTCAATAGTAGGCATCTTGCAAGCATACCTAATGAGCTGTATGATCCATCCCTCCAGCATTTGTTTGCGCTTTTGGTTACAAGCAGGGTGCCTCGTGGCCCCACACGTGTGCCCCAGCGTCCTGAGGTTCTGGGTTCGAATCTGTGCTCCGGCATGCTGATTGTGTGGGGCTTGCTGTTTTCTCCCGTTGCTCGCATAGATTTTCTCCAGGTGCTCCCACATTCAAAAACATGCATGCCTGATGGATGGATGGAAAGATGATGATGGATAATCAATTGACAGGTGACAGACAGATTGACCGCAAGACTTGTTACACAAATTTAAAAATGGTTGCGAGCCATTTCTGGATGGATGGATAAATATTATAGATGGATACAGAGATGGATAATAGAGTGATGAATGATGGATGGAAAGACAGATGAAGAGATGGAGGGACAGGTGGATGGATGCCACATGGCAGTCTAGCTAGCGAGGTGTTTGTCCATCCATCCATCCATAGTCCATCCATGGATGCTATAGATTGACAGAATGATAGACGGACAAACAAAAAGTAGGAAATTTGACGTACCACATAATAGGATAACTAGATAGATGATCGACAGACTGATTGACAGTTCAGTTACGCAAGTCGAAATTAAACAAAACACCATCCTCGACACTTGCAACGTGGGAGTTGAATGATAAATCGTGTTTTCCTCCGTTTAGGTACAACAGCATATATTAGATTGCACAACCCCCCCCCCCCCCCCCCGCCTCGTTCCACATACACATAGACACACTAAGCGCTGTTACACAACGTACCGGTTCACAGTGTGATACTAGCGACTATTTTTAGAGCTATTGAGGCTCGAGAGCAGGTGCTTGGATGGACGTTAAAAGCGTAGCCTTTTGTCTGCGCTTTCAGGTGGGAGGTTTATTTAATCAACACGCCGACTTCGGTGTCTGAAGTGGGGGGAAAGAGGTGATTCACCGCCTCTCGCCATCTGTGGCACCATTTGTCCGAAGTGGTCATGAATTGTCGTTATGCAAGTTGATGAACTCTAGGGGGGAAAAAAAAGACAAAGTGGCATAGTTGTGTGTTTTTCTCAATTAGCTTTTACAGGAATGAGGCAGCACGCTAGCAGCCAGTTAACTACTAGTGCATCACAAGAATTGTGCGTAACAATCAAGCCACTCTATGTTGACACGCAAAAAAACTATTCACAAGTGTAGGTAAAGATGGAAGAATATTCTAAATTTATTTTGATATATAGACAAAAACGCCAAAGCAAAAGCGAAGGATCCTTCGTATGTACTGTATATCGTTCACGTCAGTTAAACCAAAACAAGAGCACTACTATACTACGCTGCGTATTATGACACAAGAGCAAAAAGTGGAGCAAACGATCTTGATTCCGAGATGTTTCTTACCAAATGATGCGTAGTTGGTGGAAAAAGAGGAATTGACAAATAAGTATTAAGAGATTGCATTTCCTCTCATATGTTACCGGTTCACGCTGACAAACGACACGGGGCGCGTCAGTTGGTAATTTTAATCGCTTTAGACCCTTTTGGGCCACCGTATCCTTGCTCCTGTTTGGCAATGCAAAAAACAATGTGAAAGCTTTAAAAACAATTACAATACTCACTAAATTACGTTTCATGATATCATTTTGGTCCGAATTTGAGAGATTTATAAAACATACAAACCATTATTTATAAAATATCTAAACGTTTCGGGACCGCCGTAATTCTAATTCGCGTTGAGCAAAGTGAAAACGAGTTCTAGCAGTCTCGTAATGACCAAACAAAAAAAAAAAAAAAAAAAGTGAATCTTCCTCAGTGTGGGTTTGATGGACATGTTCAGAAGGCATAATTAAATCGAAAACGAGATGTTCTCTCGGTTATTTTGACACTCACCGACCATTTTGTCTAGCACTTCCTCCCACGCTCGTCTGAGAGAGCGACGGTGTCTGAACAATGGCGAGACAGAGGCTGATTAGCCAGATGGCTCCAGCGAGGGAACGCGACGTTAAAAGCCAATCACTGTCGTTCTGTTCTCGCTGCGCACCGAAAGAACATGAACGTTACCAAGTCGTCTGGAATTATGAAACTGTACCGAAGTGGTTTCATAATGCAGCTGCAGTACTTTCGTGTAATACTTGATGCTGTGCAATCGTATCATACTTGTACTGTAAAGATGAGGCGGCTTTCTAAAATGTCTTCACAGTATTTGGAATTTCCCAATGGAAACTTTTTTTTTTTTTTACCACTGTAGTCTCAACACACGCAACGAGCTAAATATTTGGAATACTGTAGTTTCAGAAATGCGGAAAGATTCTGAATACTTGCCATATATCGCCATTCATTTGACATGATTCGGAATATGTGACATTTGTCAAATGTACTGTATTTACTACAATGCCGTGGAGCCAAATATTAAATTATATCAATTGGTCTGACGCGTTGGTGGACATTATGAGGCAGTGTTTTATTGGAAAAGGGCGCCCCCTACTGCACAAGAAAATCGACGGACATAATTCTCCACTTTGTATGCTGTCGTGTGAGGCAGAAATTGGAGCGTTATGTAGAACATGCAAATTGCCACACTTGATCCATTTACACCTGCCAAAAGGAACAAAGGGGTTAATAATTGCAACCACCCACCCACACACCCACATAAAGAAAAAAGAACCTTTGTATTTTGGGGTTATGTTGTAATAGCACCAGTATACATAAATATGTCCCATTTATTGCAGGGTAGCAACAATGTTGCTTATTATAAAACGCATCATATTTAATCAAAATTTAAAAAACTACGATGCATGAAATGATTATGTGCCATCATAGTAAACGTGTCATTGAATTCTAAATTGTAGTTTGTGTTGTAACACATCGAATGTTATCGCTTAAATGATTCACATACAGTACAAGGACATGGCTCTGGCACTAAAATGTACACAAAAATGCATACATAGACACTCACACACACCAACTGTCTCACACTCTTACACGCGCGCACACTCACGCACACATGCAATGTCTTCTTTTAGATGGCATCAATGCCGTGCTGAGTGCTGAACTCTTGGAAGTCCTCGGGGATGGTATCTGACAAGAAGAAAAAGAAGATCTCACGTTTTTGTCCAAGAGGAGACTGAGGACAACCTATTTCTTCAGCAAAGTGGAGAATGTGGAGCTTTTAGAATGGTTCAGTGGTAACGAATAACAACAGAAGTGGACAATAAGGCTCACATGTAATCATTCCTTCTTAAAGAGACATGATATCCAAGAGGAGACTGTGGGCAGCATGACAACCTTTCGTTTTGCAAAGTGAAGACTATGAAAGTTTTAGAATGGTTTAGCGTTAACGAGTACGGACAGTCGTATTTATTCCTTGGGAAGGAGACATTTCATTCACGAGGAGACTGAGGGCACCAAAGCAATGGACCACTGCAGCAGTGTGGCGGCTGTGGAGTATATCACAGTAGCGTACAGGATAAACCCCCATTGGACTTATTTCTCAGTAAGGAGACATTTTTTTACTCAAGAGTGGATTATAGGCAGAAATACAATGGCACACGACAGCTAACTGGAGACTATGGAGTGTATATAATGTGGATAATGTTTATTGTTGCCCTCAGTCTCCTCTCGAATAAAAACGTTCTCGCTTTACCAACAAACGGTTGGTGAGAAGCAATTAACTAATTAAACTTCTGCTTACCATTGCAGCGGTATCTCAGATTGGACCAGATGATATTTTCCTGTGAGAAACAGAAGACGCCGAGTCGGCCCCCTCTCATGGTCGTGTCGATAGTCACGCCCGAGTCGGCCACCAGATCAGAACCCTCGTAGAAGCGGGCCCTGTCGTGACCCCAAGAACAAAGAGATTAATTCAGTGTCTTTCAACACGAGGAAGATATAAGACTCAGATCTCTACTTTTCGGATTGATTTATTAGGTTGTGCTCTGTTGCTAACCAAAACAGCAGCATCCATCAGAGGATCAATACAGATGCACAGGAGCATTAAAGAAAAAAAAAAAACATTCATTACCTGATGTATCCAACCTGTGGGCGGTGCTGCAGGTACCAGCGGTAGGACACTTTGTCCTTCCAGCCCACGTTGCGGGGGTCCTTCCACAGGAGGCGTACCTGGTCTTGGGTGTCCCCGGTGTGCCACAGGGAGTTCCTCAGATGCTCCCCTGGCCCAGATCGGGATTTCACGGCCTGGCGGAGAGAGGTAGAGAGAGAGAGGTGGGGAGGGAGGCGGTGGAGGGGGAGAGGTCTTTGCAATATAGTTAAAAGGCCTCTAGATGACACTATTGCTCTGCAAACACGATCCCATTTTGCCATTATGTTTTGGGCCTGTTCAAAGATTAAGGAGTCGTTTCATTAGATTTGAAATTTATGACGGGTCGGTGGTAAACTCCCCGGGTCCTTACGGCTTGGCAACTAACAATCCAACTAACTTTGAAAAGTACCAATCAATCATGTAGCTAATTAACTAGTCACCTGTTAAACAAATGAATGAATGAGCTCCCGACCAACCAAGTATTCCACCGGCTAGCCATCCATCTCAGTAGCTAACCAAATAATGTGCCAATTACCCAACCAACGAACAAAATAACTCACCAGTGAGCCAACCGACTAATGAGCTAGCTAAAATAACTAAATAACCAACTAGATAGTCAGCCAGCTCGTACTCGCTAGCAAGCTAAGTAACTAATGACGTACTTGGCCGAGGTCATAAACAGGTTGGGGTTAAAAGCGGTCACCTTGAGCTGTATGCCGGGTTCGGCCACGGCTCGGAAGGGCGTGGCCTGCCAGTACGTCTGCTCCGTCTGCTTCCACATGACCACGTAGAAGGACGAGGAGTCCTGGTAGCCAAAGATGAAGCCGGCGTAGTCGTCGTCCGTCACCGTGTTGACGTGGAATGTCCCCTCAAAGTCAACGCCGCTGAAGGCCGTGTAACCTCAAGTCGAGAGCACCGAGAAATAATTTTCGAATTTTCTTTCTTTTTTTTTTTTAAAAGGGCGTTACATCTTTGGTGAAACTTTGAGAAACACTGTCTTACCCACAGCCAGACCGGGATCGCTGTTCATGGTCTGGACGATTTCCATTCCCTGAGGGAGGAGCAAAGATCTGCTCAATATCGCCATTTTTCCGATGCATGACGCAGGGGTCATTGTTTTTGTTCAGGTCCCATTGAAGTTTTGCATTTTATTTATTGTATGTTACTTTTATGATAACGTTTTTAGCGGCTGGTTAGTTCTGAGGAGCATTGATTTTGAATTCTTCCGACCTGGTTGAGGACCACCCAGTTGGGGTCAATCTGAGCGTCGCCTTCGGGGTCCAGCACCACCGTCTGGAAGGCCCTGAAATCGGTCAGAGTCACCTCCGCGTTTTCGGGGCAGTTGTCGATCTGGTCGACAATTTTGTCCTGGTCGAAGTCGGACTCGCATATGTCGCCCACGCCGTCATCTGAGGATGAAAGATTTGCAAGTGACGTTTATTTCTTTGAATTTCTT